CAAGGAAAAAGAAAGGAAAAAGAAGACAACAAAGAAAAGAAAAAGCTGCCAAAATGAATCCGTTCAATGTGAAGATTGAACAGAGAACATTTTTACAGCTCAGTTGGCAACTCATTGTTTGAAAGAAGATATAATGAAAATGCAGATAGCCCACCCACTTCAATAGCATTAGAAATGACTGTTGTTATAATAATAATACAGACTAGACTGATAGCTATTCAAAGAAAGAAAGTTCCTGATAGATAGCGGAGGATAATTTGTATTCTCTGGACATAGAGTATGTAGAAAACATGACAGTCTACAATACAACCCGACTTTCTACACTAATGAGTGAAGTGGCTCACTTGAAAAAACAGAGGAGAAAACAATTTGGTTTAGAAAGAATAATTTCTTGAACATTTCCAAATAAGCCAGACTCTTAACTGGTACAAAAGACATTTTTGAAATTCAAATGCAAAGCCACTGTACCATCCCAATAACTACTCCAGATCTTTATCCACAGGTTTCACTCTAGATATATTTCTAACAATATGATTTATAAAAACCCTTAATAAAAAACTCAAAGTGGAAACCAGCTGCATCACCTATCCTGAGCTTTCATCACTCCGTAGATCATTAAGGCCACAAGGTTAGAAACCAGTTGTCCTTTTTGTGGTCCTCCCGGTAGGAAACACAGAGTCAGACACATAGTTGGCACTTCATTAGTATTTGGATGGATGGGTGGATGGACACATGGATGGACGAATAGGGGCTACTGTTTAATGAGCACTGTGCTAGAACTCTTTCATATATTATTTATTTTATTCTGTATGCATTTTACAGATGATAAAACTGATGCCCCCGGAGCAGGTAATCTATTTAAGGTGACGCTGCTAGCAGACGGCAGTCAGTAACTAACACTCAGCAAAATGAGCTACAATTTCCTAAATTCTAGCACAGGAAAGAAAAATTCTTGCTTCTCTTGTGCTAATTATGTGCAATCTCAAATGAGACAGTTGGTTAGGGAACAAAAAGAGGTGCTTAAAAATTATCTTCTCAGAAGCAATTAAAAAAAAAAAATCCCCAGTGCAGGAGTCACATCTTTTAGAATACAAACCATAAAGCACTCTTCCCTAAACATAAAAACCGGCAAATTAATATACATGGATCCACTGCAAACACACCTACAGACTCCCACAACTTCAAAGGATCAAATCAGCAACATTCTTTACACATTTAGACCCACCAAGGAGGAAAGATTTTTGTTCAGAAATTTTTAAAACATATCATGCTAAATCACGCCGTTGAGTAAGTACACATTCAGGCCAGTTTCCTCCATGTACCGTCCACATACACAGTGTAAAACAAGAGCTGATTTTATTGTGACAGTCTGGGAACACTGTAAAATCTGAAGTACCTTTGGAATTGGAGAAACCAATCACACCAAGTTCAGTGTAAAGTTTGTGGCAGGTATATTTTAATTGTATGCTAATACTATGAAAATGTGCCCTTCATTTGGTAACTTTCAGAGCCATAGTAGTGAGTTCATTGTAACCCCATATTTTACAGCTGTGCTTAATAAGTTGGTTTGCTATCAATGACCAAATCGTGAGCTGGGACTAATGTCATAACTATCATGGAATCTTACCAATTGGGTCATCTAGTCAATGGCTTACATTAAATTTATCTAGGGTTCTACACAAACTATTCAAGCCTGGGCTCAACCCAGACAAACTGTATCCTAATCTCTGAAAGTGGGGTTGTGTGGTGACATGATTGCAAAGTCCCCAGATGATTCCATCAGAGTCGTGGGCATTGCTCTGGTCCAGCCCCTCTTATGTAACAAATGCAGAAGCTGAGCCACATAGTAATGAAGTAACTTGACCCAAACCTTACAGCTCTTTGGCTATGGATGTATGACTTGAGTCCAGGTTTTCTAACAGTGTCACTGCTCCTTCCAGTAAGGCTTGAAATCCTTTGACTGGCTTAGGGGTACCCATAAGACATTCTGACTCATGCTACATCCGTGTCAGAAATATTAGATGATATTAGATCTTTAGATATTAGATATTAGAAATATTAGATTAACATATCTCTGAAAATCTAATCATGCTGTTAGCTGCCAGCAAGCACAAATGGTTCTTCTAAAGACAGGAGACCTAATGTCAAACCAATGGTTGCAGTTGGTAATTGAAGTGTGGGCAGTGTCTGAGTAATGAGTCTGACACTCAATACATACTTACTGATCTGAAATAAATGTGCTAATTGTTTTTCTCTGTTCTAGCATTAGCCTTACTTGTTCCTATCACATATCTTCCCCTCAACAGACATACACATACATTTCATTATCCAAAGGTTCTCATTTCTCCCACAATTCTCCTGAGAGTTTCCCAAGCCATTATAGCATCATACCAGAAAAGCTTCATGCTCCCATGCTGCTGAGAGAAAATGAAAAATAATAATGTCTTATTGTCTGAAAAGAAGAGGAGGGAATAGAACTTAGTAAAAAGAGCACTGGGGCTTCTACTTCCGCATGTAAGGAGCTTGACGGGTGTCACTCTGTCTTAACAAGTAAAAAGCTGAACAGACTGAAAAAATCAACAACTCTCCTTGGATCCATAAAAGAGGGGAGGGCACAGGACAAACCTCAGCCCCTAAGATTAGAGAGACAGACAGGTGAATATAGGGAGTCACAGTTTACCAGGGCAGAGACTGACCAGCAGAAACTGCTGTAGGATCCAGCGCCAGCGCTGGGGTAGGAAAACCTCAACTGTAATTGACAAATTGCTGGAGGCTCAGTGCCGACAACCCTGAGAGTTAAAAACTCCAGGGGAAGCCAGTCACAGGGGAAACCCCACAGTATTGTGAGCTTTACCCTCAGGAGCTCAACCAGATTCCCATGGTAAACAGGGAGAAAAATCCCCTGGGGCTTCCAGCAGAGGGAGGGGAAAAGGCACTCTGCTCTTCTCACAAGGCTTATCCTTAGGGAAACTAGTTAACCTGAGCCTGACCTGCTGGGGTATTATCAGAGCCTAACTGACCTGGGGAACCGAAATACTCAACTCCAGCCCACTCTAGCCATCCTGTTCCACCTTAGGGGGAGAAAAAAAAACAGAGAAACACTTGTGAAGTTCACCGTCCAGAAGTATAGGCTCATTAAAAAGACTGAGTATAGGCTCATTAAAAAGACCGAGACCTAATTACAGGACCATAGAAGCCTCCCGTTCCTTCACATCTCATCACAACTGTAGTCCTTTACATTACTAAGAAAGAACCAAAACCAAATGCTAGAAACAGAAAACACTGTAACAGAAACGAAGAATGCCTCTTACGGGCTTATTAGTAGACTGGGATATGGCTGAGAAAAGAATCTCTGAGCTTGAGATCATCTCAACAGTAACTGCCAGACTGAAAAACAAAGAGAAAAAAGACAGGAAAAAACAGAAGAGAATATTGAAGATCTGTGGGACAACTCCAAAAGGTGTAATGTGCATGTAATGGGCATACCAAGAAGAAGAAGAGAGGAAAGAAAAGAAGAAATATTTGAAACAATGACGGCAATCTGCCCAAATTAATGTCAGACACCAAACCCAAGATCCAGAAAGAACAATGAGCAGGGTAAATGCCAAAAAAACTCACTACACTTAGGCTTCTCATTTTGAAACTACAGAAAAATCAAAAATAAAGAAAAAGTCCCAAAAGAAGCCAGAGGAAAAAGCACTTTATCTATAGAGGAAAAGATAGAATTACTTCTGACTTCTCTTCAGAAACTACATAAGCAAGAAGAGAGTGAAATGAAATATTGAAAGTGTTGAGAGAAAAAACCCACCAACCTAGAATTCTCTACTGGAACATATTTACATGCTGTAGAAAAGGAGCCAGTGGAGAGAATGAAGGTGGAAATATAGGAGTCAAGAGCCAGCTGATGGAAAATCCAAGAATAAAGATAAGTCTTGAATGTGAGGAATCTCGGATACAAATGCAGGTATGTTTTGTGGATGAGTTGGCAGATGCAGGAGTGGACTGAAGAGTTAGTAGAATATGTCATTCTCTTCCTTTTTTGGGAAGGATGAGGTATGAGAGGAGTAGGATACTTAGGAAGAATGGTGGAGCTTTAGAAAAGTCATTGGCTATAGCAATTGAAATGTGGTTGGAGATATATGGTCAATCTAGGGGCATTCTGTAACAAGATGACAGATAAAAAAACAGTTTTAAGCAAACAAAATAGCTATCATTTACATATGTGCACAATGGATTATTACCCAACAGTCCTTCTCTGCTCTCTCTTTACCTCAACCAAACTCATGTGCTAGTCTTTCTGTTAATCCTGCCCCCGTTTCCCCTCAACGCACAACAGATTTTTAACAAACTCTTTAACTTTGCTTGGAAATATTTCTAACATACACATGAAAACAGAATAATTTATTAACAGCAATGTTCTACCATCCAGCTTTACCAAATTTTAACACTATAGCATATTTACCACAGTAAACAAAATCCCTGAATAGAGGCTTACTGGACAAGCAAGATTTCATCACCAGCAGACATCAACATGCTGGCTTACTTTTCACATTTCACATGTTCATGAATTATGCCCAGAGCACCCCCAAGAACTTCAGGTAATACTGTGGGTAGGCACAAATCAAATATGGCCAGAAATGGCACTGGTAAGCTAATTAGGTATTCTCCTGAACTGAACTGTTAATATATTAAAACCATGCAAATTAGTTCTTACCCATAGGTCCTAAGTTTGGAAAAAATGCTCTGGCAAAGTATGAACTTTTAATAAAAATGGTAATTATAATTCACAGTGCTAATACTATTTTTCTTTAGTGTTCTAACACTCATTGCTACTTTGGTGTTGGTAAATATGAGGACGGTTAATAAAAAATATTTTTTCCCCACATCATGTAAAATTTCTGAAGCTGAAAGTATGCAATCAGTTTCTAAAGACAAGAGCTTTATTCTTTAAGTGGTAATAAATCACCCATTAAGTCTAAGATCTGTAATTTGGATAGTACCTGCCAAAACAGACTGTGTGCATCTCCTCTTAGCAGTTCAACTGTATCGCCTGCCTGGATGTGTAATGGGGGTCCTTCATGAAGAGCTGGGGGTGGTGTTCCAGTATAGTTCTTAATGACCTGCATCTTTGGTAAACCTGAAAATAAGCAACACAACTTTTAGAATTGAGAAAATGATGTGTGAAGTCTAAATGTACTTTCAAGAAAAAAAAAAAAGCCATTATTAACATTAAAAAGTTTTAATAGAACCAAGTCCAAGTAAATATTAGAAGTAACTACAATGGAATCCTTTTCAATTTTCTCATTATTTGAGATGGTAACGGAATAAGACAGATATTTATCCCCTGATCCCTTACACACTTTTCCTCTCCCTCATCATCAATCTCTTTTTAGTTGAAAAAATATTTCTCTTTCAGCTGATGCCAGCTTCATAAAAAACACATCACGTACGGTTTAATGGAAAAGAATCAATTTTTTCATCAACTCTATCCTTTCTGCCTATTACTTTCCTCTCGGGCATTGGCTGATTTCATCACTAAGGAGGCTCACCCTTTCTGTGTATGTATCACATTGCCCAGTATAAGGCTCATATCTTAAGGTTATCTTTGTAATTCAAAAGCAAAAAGGTGATGGATGTGCCACTGCAATACTTAAGACATTTATATGGAGAAATTCTTCAGGCTGAAATTTAGGCTTGCAAAACAGACCTAATAAAGGGAACATGTCTAAGCCAATAGCATCAACAATACTTGACATACAGATTCATCCCATTTCTTTGTATTTCTTGGAATGTGCAATGAAGGCCTCAGTTCAATATTTCATTTATGAGAACAGCAGCTTCAATTGTACACAGGCCTAATTGCACCAATACTAGTCACAAATGGACAACCTCAGTCACCTTTTCATTTAGAGGTGAAACTGTTCCCTCCTAGGAGAGAGATCGCCCATAAACACGCTATTTGTTGCACATGGGACTTAAGTCATTGCTTACTACACTTCACAATTTTTTATTCTAATGATTGACCATGGTAAAGCTGTAACTAGCTGGAAATGCTGCACTAAATAGAGAAGGATGAATGACTGTCATTCAATTCTACATGTCCAAGTTACCTAGAAAAGACCTCAATATCTACAGAAAATGCTTCAGCAAACAGTTTAATAAAGTCCTCAAAATCCTTTTTCAATAACCACCCCAGAGGGGAGAAAACAAGTGTGACTATAAATTAAACAACTGAAAAGTTTTAATCACCACCTTTTAAATGAATCCAGTCAATCAGAAGACAGAAGGGCTGAAAAACACTGAGCCCTTCACCCTAATTTAGCTGCTCTAACTGCTGAGGCATGTTAAGAGTTGCTACATCTCCCCTTGGCTTAAGTTCTTGTGCCACAGAACCCCTGGAGGGATGACTTTCATCCTGCATCTTTCATGGAGCGTTTCCCTACCAGATGTTATAAAGTGGCGCCCTTACACAAACAGCAGACTTTACTGTCTTTCCCAAAAACAACACTACACAAGAGAACTCTTCTTAGTAAAGTGTTTATCAGACTTGCTCTCAACACACTATAAATGCCTTGAGTATTGTTGTTGGCAGTGCCCTCAAGTCAATTCCAACTCGCAATGACCCAGTGGACAGCAGAGCGGAACCCAGTGGGTCTTTTTGCAGCATCTTCTCACCCTCCAGCGCTGTATCAGACAATGCTCTACTGCTATTCACAGGGTTTTCATGGCCAATTGTTTTAGGAAGTGGTGGCCAGGTCCTTCTTCCTAGTCTATCTCAGTTTGGAAGCTCCGCTGCAACCTGTCCACTCTGGGTGAAATACTGGTGGCACACTTTTCAGCATCACAGCAACACGCAGCCGCCACAATATGACAACCAACAGATGGGTGGTGTGGTTCCCTGACTAGGAAACAAACCTGGGCTTAGGCGGTGAGAGCACTGAATCTCAACCACTAGACCACAGGGCTGGCTGCCCTGAGTACAGAAAGAGCTTATTTTACACTTTCTATTAAGTTGCTGTCGTTAATTTAAAATGAAACCTAAATACCCCATGCACACAACAACTGATTTAGAAGTTCATATATGAAAGAGGATGCAGTCTCAAGTAGAAGTTTTAACAGAGTCTGGTTCGCATGACAGTTATTCCATGTTTGGGGGCCAGCGTTATAGTTAGCCTTAGTTTTACTGAGCATTTCCAGAGCAAGAAAAGTGTTTCATTCAGCAGGCTCCCTTGATAATTTTGTTTTTATGTCAATTTTTACATACAGGCTGAAGGCAAGAAAGAAGAGTTTTTAAACCTGCAATAGCTGACGTGGCCTTGAATACTGGTGCCAGTTGAGAGCTCAGAAAGGTCCTGGCCTTCTCTGCAGCTGTCTCTGTGGCCAGGACCCACAAGGACAAAAAGAAGCAGTGCCAGGTGACAAACGGTGGAAATGGCAGTTCTCTTATTGCTGACATCCCCAAGCCAGTTGTTCTCAAGAAGAAATGAATGAAAATGCACAGAATATACAGAGAAAAAAATTAAGTTTGATGACATTTCACCAAGCAAATATAGATTAGGGATTAAAATATAGAAAGCCCAGGCTACATAAAGAAGCTGTGGAATGCCAGGGACAGAGCAATGCTGCCTGATTGATCTTTTTTGATGGACTAGAATGTCCATGACACATGGCCTAGTAAAATTGTAATATTTAAAATTAAAAATAGCACATATACGAATATACTCTGGTAAAGAACTGAGACCTAAGTAGTCTTAGGACTTATTTATGACTAAGTAGTCTTTGGAATGATGGATTGGTTTTTATAGTCTTGCTTATTCCTGATTTTTTCATTTACTCTATTTTTTCTGCTATTACTTTCTTCTTGGTTACGAGCTTCCTTTGGGAAGTTAATCCAGTAGCACACTAGCATAGGGTATTTTGCTGACCTCATTCCGAAAACAAAAATTGTGTGACCTTTGCCAAGAATTTTGCTTGAGCCCAGGTAACACCCAAAAGGACGAAGCTACTAGCCTGAATTCAGCCATAAATGACTTGCAAAATACATTACTTATTTGAATCATATGTTTTTCTTGTGGGATGAGTTATGAGTTTATGATACAATGGAATTTATATTTTTTGGTGATTTATTAGGATAATCTTTGCTATTTCTTTCTGATTGGTCAGTATTTCCCATTTCAGGATGATCTGTCATCAGGGTTATAAGGCTACAGAAATCAAAGAACAAAAGGAATGAAGCAAAGGCACAGCGACACGATGAATTCTGACCCTCTGCCCCTTGCCTCTGATGCATGCGTGTAGTAGGAGTTCTACAGTCCTGGTGGGATGAACGGTTGCTTTCCAAAACACCCCTTTATATTCCTTCCCTTGTTTAAAAAAATGCACAGTAACATTGCTAAGAAGGTGAACACAATCACATTAACTGATAGATAAAAATGCAATTAAAATAAGAAGAGATGGAGTGGGTTAAACTTCATGTCAGCACTCAGCCATCAATATAATTGTTAACACAATCTACTGCCACAGCAGGCATCACACCTCATAAATGAGATCAAGAAGAGAGACGAAATTAGATTTACAGATGCTCATATTTCGAATAGCCATTTCGTGTTGATTTAGTGTAGGTTTCATTCTCCCCTTATAAAATATCCCTGACAGGTTTTAACCTCTGTTTAAAAACATCCAAGATAGAACATTCACTACACATCTCTATGACCATTCAGTCATTGTTGTATAGAGTTTATTAACAAGCTCTAACTGAAACTTCCTCAGAAGTGTCTCTCTGTGTAACTTCTTTCCACTGACCTACCTCCTTCCATCTGGAATTATGTTGAAGATGACAAATCTCCTTCTTATAGATTAACCTCTCAAAATTTGTTCAAGCTTAAAATCCCTAGTTCCTTAAAAAAAAAAAAAAACAACTCTATTCATATGGTCCTTTGGTTATCCATACATCAAGGGATTCTGAGATGTAAAACAGTATAAAAGCACAAAAGTAGAACAGTAGTTTCCCTCATTGACACTGACCAATCAGAAATAAGTAGCCAAAAGTTTTTCTAAAAATTGATTTAAAAAATATAAATTCCATTATATCATAAATTCACAACTCATCCCAGAAAGCTGCTTCTTTCTTCTTGAGTAAATACATAGACTCGATAGTTTGTTTAGTTTCTTTCTGCCCCAGAACTGCATTTACAATGGATATGCTGGTACAGTTGCAGGGCTGCTCATCAAAATCTGAAAATTTATACTGCATATACCTTCAGATATTAAATGCAAAATCATCATGTGTAATTTCAACATGTATAGTTCAGCAATCTGGGAAGATCCCAAAACTTTATATAATCAATTATCTTTATCTAAGGGAATATAATTAAAATGACTAAGACAAAATTAGATCTCCTGCCAAATGATTAGTTATTTTAGCTTGTTTCATTCCCTACAACAAATGCTTTGCTATACAGCTCACTATATCCTTAATATATAACTTATGGACAGTTTTGCCCTTTAATTTTTGTTCACATCAGTAAATATGCCTAGTCTTAAATCAGATAAGGTCCACAAGTCATCCTTATGCACGACGAATTAACCAACAGACGAATCAGCAATACTAAAATGACAGTTATACTCTAGTAATAGTCACGGGGTGCTGGTTAATTAAACTGAAGCCAATGTAATTATGTGGAACGCTACAGTCTTCCAAAACAATACAGAAGTGTTTTTAAAAAAGGAGATCTGAAGCAAAATTTCCTTCCAAATCTGAATTCAATGCCACTTAGAGTGACACATGTCAAAAAATAAAAAACTGTATTTTACAAAAAGTTAATTCTGGGTAGGATCCTATTAGAAAGAGTCCCAGATATAAACTATTTCACTGATAATTTTCAAATAAACCTCAAATTTCAATGAACTTAGCCTACTGTACCAGTATCAACCGCTGTGGCTTCTAAGAAGAATGACTGCCACAATATAAATTAATATCTACTCATGATGCTGATATCACTGCCCTAATGCAATGGATTTCCCTGGGGCAATAACTTAGAGAAGAGTGCTGTGTACTAGATAAATGGATTGTCAGTCATGTGCTGGCCTTTCACCTCTGAAGCCTAATTTAAAATCTAAACACAGTCACATTAAGAA